AAAAAAAAGTGCTGCTGTGAAAACTGCCAGCATCCCCCATCAATGCCCGGGGGGGGGGGGTCTTCGCATCGACGGGTCCAAACCTTGGTGACCGTTGGTTATCATCCATGAGCATTACAGTGGAGAAAAAGAGACCCACGAGACTAAGTATTGGTCCAGGTTGGTGATGTTCGGTTGCCCAGCATCGAAGGTTACCTTGCTTGACCTTGATGTTGGTGTTGGTGATTAGAAGGGAGACCGGCCCACTCGATACTACCTGATGTCCATTCCTCGCCGCTTGAGGCAAGTAAGTGGAGACTGGTCGGACAGGAGTTGGGACTTGAGGTTTGATAGTAGTCATCCAAGTGGTTAGTTAGCTCCTGTAAAGCTTTTCTTTTTGAGGTTCACCGGAAATTCTTGGGGGTTCGTTTATATTAACGGTTTTAATCGCGAGGATGTTGCTGGATAAAGTCTACTTACTGGTGGTGTTGAAAAGACGTTGACCAGTACGTTACAATACGGTGATATCAAGAGATACACCGCCCTTGTGCATGACCGTTTTGTAACAAAGCGTAATCGCCGACACCAGCGATAGACCAGAATAGAACGTCGACACTCCGCGAAAGCAAACACTTCCGTCCATTTCCAAACCTTCAGTCATCTCTCACTTTACGTTTCATCACTCCTTACAACCCTTAGAAGTGAGAAGGTGAAAACATTCTCGTCACTGCCCAAACCACTAAGAACTAGAGTGATACCTTCCCCCAACCCATACCGCATCCAGTACGGAGAGTACCTGATGCTTGAATTTAGATACATAGCTTCATTAACCTTGCCCCTTGTTCACCAAAGCCCGATTAGCTCAGCTGGTTAGAGCGTCGTACTAATATCTTCTCCGAGATATCAAGTCCATGCGAAGGTCAACAGTTCAATCCTGTTATTGGGCATACTTTTTGTCCTTTTTGCCTCTGATCATCGACCCTTCATTGCCGAATGACTGCTGTTCTGTTTTGTTCCTTTTTATATTCACCGTGCTATTATTTTCGCATCTTTGATTGCGGAATGGGAAAGAAAAAGTCAATCATTAAGGAAGAGTTTGGTGGTGAGCGACTTGGTTCGGACACCTTTTTTTTGTCTGTCAAGTGTGGAAGGTACACACCAGCCAAGACTCTATGACAGCAACATCAAGCGAAGTTGGATTGGTCACTGGTTTTGACTCTTCCGTATGTGGAATGCTCCAACTGCCATTTAGAGCGCGAGAATATTACAACCAGGGAACATCACGAAAAGAAGGTCTTCAATCAATATGGTCATGGAATAATCGGAGTACCCGACATTGCGTGGACTGACAAATCAACCCATGCTGTCCATCAGGGACTGTTCTACCAAAGCTTCCCAAGAATATTTTGGCCATCATTACGTCGTAACACTGCAGACAAAAGAAAAGGATATCGTACGCAGTCAAGAAGAAAAGAACAATGTAGTAAGGAAGCATCATGCAGCTTAGTGCTTGTGCAACTTGTCCTTGATCTTCTGCTTCAAGCTGGTCTTGTCCTTATGTCCGTCCTGGTCATGTTCAAGGGCTTCGGTGTTACCAACGAGGGAGCCATTAGCGTCATCCCTGTGGATTCCCTTTGACTCGAGAATGCCTGATGAAAACATTGTCAGTCACTCGGTTGGAAACGCTAAATTCAGGAAAGTCACTTACGATCAGCGTCGATACCAGCTCCAGGTGCCGCCGCATCAAAGTCGCCGCCATCTGCCTGAAAGCCAGTAGCATGGTGGATAGGGTGTGACTCCGGCTTGGCCTGCTCCTCCTTGGGGGCGCCGTTCTGGGGGTCCTTGACACCTCCGTCCTCGACCTTGCCAGCAACTCCGCCATGCTGCTGGGCAACTTCTCCTAGAGACTTGGGGCCAGAGCCAAGGCCCTTGTTGGGGTTCTCGTCGGCGTCCAAGCCACCATCACGGTCATCGACGTTCTCCCTCGCGTTTACATGAGTGGGGTGCGTAGAAGGATCATTCGGGGAACGAATGTCGTTCTGGGCCTGAGTACTGTCGCCAGGGTGAAGAGACGAATCCTGGGTAGCGGCTGGGTTGACCTTGGGTACGTGGTGCTTGGAGGAGCTCTGATCCTGGAAGGTAGTGGACTGCTCGGCCGGAATGTTCCTGTGGGACGAGAAGGTATCGTTCAGGGGCTCGGGAGCGGCAGCCGTGTGGGTGGTAGTCGTGGGAAACGAAGGGTTGCTGTCAAGGGCCTTGATATCGGTGGTCTTGGGCACGGCGACGTTGTAGTGAGAGTCAATCTTGGGAGTAATGCTATCGGGGCCCTGGAACGCGTTGGTCTTGGGGTTGACAGTAGAGTGCTCAGGGATGTTGTAGTGGTTGTCAATCCTAGAGTTGACGGTTGGTGGGCTGTGGTCCTTCTCCGCCTCTGGTACCTTGACCAGATTCGCTGGCTTGGGCTCAGTTCCGTCCTTCTTCACAGGACCAGCAGCGTCCTGGGTGACGGTACGATCGGTGACCATCTTCTCGCCGACAGCCACTCCGGTACTTTGGTTGGGTTCTAGAACACAACCGTGTCAGGATCAAGTCAAGAGTAAACCATGTCTCAAGACGCACTCACCCATGTTACCAGCGTCGTAGGGCTCCCCCTTGGAGACGTCGCCCGTCTTGCCTGAGATAGGCTCCTCATGGGACTGGTCAGTTCCATAAACGGCGTCCACAGCTGCCTTGGAGGCCTGAGCGGCGAGGTTAGAAGCCTCAACGGCGAGGTTGGAAGCTTCAACGGCAACGTTGCTAGCAGTGGTGGCAGCAGAGCTGGCGACCTTGTTGATGGTCTCCATGATGGGCTAAGGTGAGTATCAAGGATTGGCGTTGTGCTTTCTTTTTGTTTTTCTTTTTCTCGTGGAAAGTAAACAGATGGGTATCTCGAGAATTGGTATCAGGTGTAAAGATCTTTGGTAGTTGAGAACAGAATAGACGTGGTAGACGGAAGGGAAAGAAGTGAAATTGTTTGCTATTTTATTCTTGTTCAGAGTGGGGGTACACGACGGACCCTTTCGATTACAAGGCTGGCCTCTTACCTCATTGCTTCACGAGGCCGCTGACGTCTTTGTTGCAGACTTGATTTGGATTCTGGGAAGGAGGGGCCCGCCCCGGGTTGTCATCCGAGGAGGCCTGGCCAAGCAAACGCGCCTTCCATCGTCTGAGCTTGTCCATAAAACATCCCAACCCCCCAGCCTTGGACGGACCTGACGGAACGGAATCTCCACACCCTCTGGGTTGTTCGGGGGACATTATGGCCACTGATCGTCGCCGCCGAGAGGTTCAACCGACAGCTTGTACGCATTTGTACATCTCAGGGTCCCTTCCTGAGCAAAGTACACTACCAGCCGGCCATAGATTGGCCGTAGTACATAGCACACATCCCAAGTTTCCCTTTCTCCATCCCATCTCCAACTCTCCAGTCGCTGTCACTGTTTCGTTTTCTGGTGTCGGTCACAAGCGTTGTTCCTTTTCGTATAATACGCCATCGTGCATAATTTATCAGACCATATTTGACTGCTGTTTTAATACTTTTACACGAGCAAGCAGATCTTCAATTGTGTTAGTTGAATTGAATCGATAGGTTCAAACAAAGACAAGAAGAAGTTGCCGTGGTGGGGGAAGAGCTAGCTGATGACGCCAGTTTCAGCCCACCTTTCTCCAACGAACTATCAAACGTACAATTACGTCACAGAAGCTCCCCTCCACGTGCTGTGCGTGGTGTACTTGTAAGCCATCAGGGCAGTACCTAGCGCAGTAAGTGCGGGGCTTTCTCCATTACAGCAGGCGCGGTTATGCGCGGGACTCCCTCCTCACTTTCTTCAGTTTCTTCAACCTCTTAGAGCCGCGCTGTCAGGTTTTTCAGTTGTACTTCAGTTCTCTCAAGCTTCGTTCCTTCATTGCCAGTTATCCTTGGCTTCGTGTGGCTTGCATTCACCATGTCTTTTTTGTTGGCGAACTGGAGGGATTCCGAGCAGCCCCACGTCAACCACTCATCAAATGGAAGGTCCACACCGGGCAGCCACTGAACTCCATTTCACTGTGTTGCAGTGTTCCGTCAAGTTGCACTCCATTTCGGGCGCTACCCATGCCTCGCCCCCCACACCCGCTGTGCGGGCCCTGACGAGAGCGAAACCCACCTGTAAGGCCGGGCCGGGCCTCCATTGACCAAACTCCTGTCCCGTTTGCTTGCACAGGTACAACACCAGCCAATGCTTGCTTCAAACAAAAGCGTTGCACAAGGATTCAATTCAGGACAAGGCGACTTCTACCCGACTGTGGAATGCTATCATCATCATCGAGAAATCTGGCTGCGACAAATGTTGTGAAAAGAGTCCGGCATCTTCTGTAAATCCCGCGGGAGGTGAATGACACTGCTCCTGATGGCCTGCCTGAGTGCCATTTGATGGCTTTGTTTACTTGCCCCTTTTCTTGCCTCCGGATTTTCACTTTTACCGTCATCCAGCTTTGTCTTCTTGCTCCACTGCCCGTCATCAAAATAAGCTTAATTTGACAATTCGTATCTAGTAAACAAAGAAAAGAGAGCTAACATTAATCGTTATGTGTATGTACAAGAAGAACTGCAAGAATAACATTATATCAGGAACGACAGACGCCCAAAGCAAAATGAAACCACAAAAGCCACACCTCATCCTCTCGCTCAACCGATACCTAGTCCTCCTCAACAACCCTTCTGGTCCTCTTCACAACCTCCATCCCGCTGCATCTACACCTGCCCTCACTCTCCTCCACCTCGTCCGCACCACCGGTACTGTAGCGTTCACCGCACTACCGGTAGCATTCGCCGCACTCCCTGCGCTCGCCATTCTACCCGCCGCCGCAAAGTCCACTTTCCCACCACCCACCGCCACAATGAACACCTTTGGATCCCCCGCTGCCACCGTTCCAGCGACGTTTTCCTTCTCCGTTCTTGACACATCGTCATACGGGAACGCATACCCCTTTCCTTTCGGGCTATTCTGGTGCACCACTCTGCTGTAGTGATTCGTGGTATTGTTGCTCTTGTAAAACGTGCTGATTTCCTCGCCAGCCGGTTGGTTCGTGTTGATCAGCAACGTACTTCTGTTCAAGGCTGCCGCCAGACGCGCCCCGACATTTCCTCGGAACGCCTGGATGTCGAGCTCGGCTTCGGTCGCGTTCACCGGTAACGGTGGAAAGGCGAACGGACCCGTGGAACAAGAGAAGATATCGGCCGCCGACGGCTGATCAAATGTAATCGTCTCGCTGTTGTTCGATCGGAACGTCAACAGACCCGTCCCCGGGTCCACTCTCCCCTTAACCACCCCCCATTTGTTCTGCGTATCCACCATCAAATCCTCCTTTGCATACTTCTCCCAAACTTGCTTCACGTAGCTGTCATAATACCCGCTGAACAAGCTCTCCTTTCTCGCTTCAGCCATCACCACCGCCGAATTGGGACTCATCACCCTCGTTACCTGCCCATCACTCTTCCTTCTCACCACCAGCTTCTCCCAATCCCCTCCGGCCTGCTTCAGTTCATCGACCACCTTGTTCAAGCCGGTTTGATACCCCATCCCTTCAACCTCTTGGTTATCTTCCGCCTTCCCCGTAGTCCTGATGACGCCGAGAGAGGCAGGACACTTCCCGACCAAATCCACCATCGAGACATTGGCAAACAGCTGGAACTCATTAAAGGTAAACTCGACAAACCCCCACTCCTTTTCGTAGTTCACATCTTTGTCGTTGGTGACACTCGGTTCCACCAACGCCAGGCCCGCTCCTTTTCCATCTTGCGGCACTCCGTCCACCGGGTTCAAAAAGAACTCCAGCTGCGAATCAACCGAGTACCAGATCCTCGCTCCCGCCAGGCGCGGAATGGTTACAGTGCGAGGAGACGAAGAACCGGGGGCGTTGAGCGGGATGGCGATATCGGAAGGGGGGATGGGGGTCAGGGTTTTGTTCACGGAGGCATACGTGTAAGCGGCGTTGCCGCTGGCGGAGAGGACGAAGAGGCCACCGTCCAGGGTTTGGCCGGTGATGTAGGCGTACACGGTGGAGGAAGGGGTGTTGTTCTCGAGCGAGATGGTGAGGGTCTCGGGGGTTGTTTGGTTGGTTTTGGCGGAGGAGAGGGTGCTGTTTTGGAAGGAGACGGTGAGAGGCTGAGGCATGGTGTCGGGGGTTATGGGCGCGCCGATGGGAGCGGTAAGTTGACCGGTGTTGAAATATGGGTAGCCGGGTGGTTGAGTTCGTTGTGGAAACATGGAGAGAATTGCCGTTATGGCCGAGTTGATGAGTTGTTGTTTCATAGTGGACTTGGTGATAGATAAATGAATGGAAAACAAGCCGTAAGGACAGATGGGGCTGCTTGTATGAAAGAGATGAGAAGGGGGTATCAGGTGGGATGGTAAAATGACAGGTAGGTATGCCTCTTAATATCTTTCTTTAGTTGAAAATGCTACCCATTCCGCAGAAAAGTGAAGCATGATTCTCTCAACTGACTGAGATCAAGGCGCCTGTCCAGATGTGAAAGCCCACTTTATATCCTGTTTGTACTACTTTTCCATATTCCAGTCAAAGACAGATAGATGCAATGACAAAATCGTGATCCACGGTACGATCCGAGGAGGGTTAAGAAACCAAGAGAAGAAAAAAAATCCCGAACACCTGCCCTCAACTGGTGATGCGCCCACAAGATCATCGTCTTTTCACATCACTGATATTCAGGCCCCTGGACTTGGCAAGGTTGAAACTTGAAAGCTTCTCAAATCTCCTTCTATCCAATCCTTTGACAAAAAACATGGCCAGATAGTCCCCCACCACCTTTTCGGATGTGTAGGTAGCCAACCTCTGACTTCCAACTGTTAACGTCACTAATTCGCAACTAAGTATAGTCGCGCCTATCCCCTTTGGTAGTATCACTATCTCTGTTTCTATTGCTACTACTTCTACCACTGCTATTGTCTATTGTTGATGGGACCGTTGCTACGTTGCTTAACAGCTTCCTCATCATCTATACTATGGCGCTTTCGCTCCTTGTTGATCTGTTGATCCTCAGGTACATCGTATACCTGCTTTCTTCTTCCTTGCACATCAAAGGCCTTAGCTTGAAGATTCTGAACCAGTTTACATCATGCGGATTTTTGGTAATGCGTCTTGTGGTGTAAGACATATGATGGCTTATACATTTGAAGATGGCGCACACCCAAAAAAAAAGTGGGGAGGGGGGGATATTTTGTCCAAGCAGGCATGGATGGATCTCGCCCCTTCTTCGAAACCTCCGAAAGAACATCAGACCCTAACTTGTTGTGTTGTACCTGCCTTAGCATTTATTGTTCCGGTCCGGCTGAGACAGATTGGGAACTTAAGCAAGGCACCAACCAACCAACCCTCCCAGTCGCCAATCCTCTCCCAGATGGAAGGATTCCCGAGCGGATGGCTGGTGACTGACCCAGCCCTTAATTTTCTATACCTAATCTTTTCCCCCGCTGACATGGACATTGACCGATCGCCTGGGCTGTCAGATCCAGCAGCACGTCGTCGGTCCGTCTGCAGGTCATCCAGTCATCCGGAGCCCGATATCGATGAAACAGATGATCAAAGGCGGTCACATATGCAATTGTTGCAACGGGATCGATGAATTGGGGTTAGCGTCATGAGAGTCGTTATGCGGCTTGGCGCGACCGGAGCGCAGGCCCGCAACGGTCGATATGTATACATATATATACACCACGTTTTTTTGGTTGTGTTGGCATGATGCAAAGACCTCTCGCTTGTCAAGTCAAAAGGCATGTAGGGTTTTATACTTGATACTACCTACCGGGCCTTGATCAATCATTGACGGATGCGAGGAAACAGCCAAAAATATTAGCCCAACAAAAGCACATCCAGCGGAAGAGGCATTTCGGTAATTCTCTCCCGATTGAATTTTGCACACAAACAGGTAAACATGACACAAGCAAAAAAAAACCAAACGAGGGCTTCGATCGTAGGTAGGTTTGCCATGGAACTCGGTCACTCGGTTCCTTGGAAACAACCCAGTCAGTAACAGCGTTTGGGAGGGGGTTATCTGTATGTATGTCTTGCTTTACCGTGTGAGGCTGACCTTGGCGCAGGTTGAAATCAAATCCTGTGAGAAGTCAATGTATGACTTCAGTTGTGTTCTGTCGAAGACTTCCTCGCGGAGGGAACTAGCGGAACCAAGGACTGAAAGTGTCAACCACCGACCTTCCACTTATCAAGTCTGTTAGTCCTCTCCCACTGCATCCTATCCCACTTACCTACCTACTATCATTGTTGAACCACATTAACCCGTTCCGTTATAGACATGCGTGTATACTTGAAAGTTCCTCTCCTCAGATCCCAAGATGGGTATTTGGGGTAGCTAGGTACCTATCATCACCACAACCAAGTATCTCGACAAAAAGACTGGATGTAACCTCTATCCGACTAACAATCACTCAACCGCCTTTGCAAGCAAGACGTTGACATTCTTTATGCCCATCTACTGCATAGTACACCTCTGCAGGTATGTACACTACTTTGTTAGCGCGGTGACATTGCAATTGGCGATAACTTTATTTTCCTCCCCGCAGAAGATGATCGGTATGCCCGCCACCAGCTAGTCGAAATCTGTGAGGTGGCGGTACCACGCTAACAAAGTAGATTCCAGCAGAAGTGTACACTACACTACCGATGCGGCGGCTTCAAACGGCGCAGCTAGCCAGCCAAGAACGCCAAAAGTCCGGGGAAATCTGACATTGTAGGTAATTGGGTAGGACGACGCTTTGGGGGGAAAAAAATCTCCGAAAGTAAGCGCCACACCCACACCTCACTTGCACTACACAGAAGTCTGGGGTAAAGTATGTGAAGATGACCGGATTTTGCAAGTATGCAGGTTTAAATGGAGGGTGGTATTCTGTCATCACGCTACCCTTCAACTACAAACTAACGAGTTGGAGTATTGCACCCTCAGTCCCTCACTGCTTCCTGGGGAAGTGGAGATGACCAAACATTCACACGTGGCTTCGATAGCGTGTTGAACCCCTCCTGCGTCGTTGATGTGTGAGCTGTGCTGGGTAACGTGGATGTGACCTTGACTTTGCGAAGATGGGATTTTCTTCATACACCCCTTTCTTTGATCATACACAGGCGGATGACCTTTTCGTGTCTCTGATATCGCAGGTATCCAGACTGTGATCAAACATCTATGCAGGTGTTGAGCGAGTCAATTGAGCCACATCTGGACTCACATATAAACAGTCAGATACTGGCACTCTTGTACTCTTTCCCTGTCACATGAGTAGGTTGGTATGCTCTCTTTGCCACAGGATTGAAAAGTAATCACTGGTTCTCATCAGAAGCCCCCTACCAAGCCAATCATCAGCAAACCAACAACAATCATTATCCAGCGCGACATTGCCTCAAGGGTTCTAGCACCACTAGTGATTTCATAGACAGTCTGATTCTTGGACATGTCCGAATAATCACTAAAGAACCAGTCCTTTGCAGTCTGGTTCTCCCTGGTCACAACAGGAATTTTGCACACCGAGGTCTCCGCCTTCGCATTCTTGCATCGACCGTCCCAGTCCTGCGCTCTCTTGGGGTCAGTCGAGTTGAAGTAAGCCTTGATGTAGCGGATGACGAGAGGTGCCTCCTCCTTCGGGGGCCCGCCAGACCACTTGGGGTTTCCGTTGCTCCAATGTGACAGAATCAGGTGGCCATGTGAATTAGGACTCGGAACATTGGAGCCGTTCATCTTGGCGAGCAGGACTCTGTCAGCATAAAAGAGAATCTCGCTGGGGCTGTAATCAATACGGTATTCATGGAAATCGGCCGTGGGGTCGAAGGGCAGGTTTGCCTGCATGAAGTTGTCGGTTTGCGAGGCGTCGTAGCCATGCGCGGCGGCGGCTCGGGATTGCAGAACGAGATTGACCGGGTAAGCCTTTTTGCTGTGGTCGAAGTCCTTGGACAGAAATTCCATGTCGATCTCCTGGGTATCGTTGAAGTACTGCGGGGCAAGATATGTTAGCGGAGTCCCAAGGAAGAATCACAGACGAGGACTGATCCTAACCCAGAAGAATGCCGCACAGGTACCAGGGATAGTCGTCAACTTCATCGAAGCCCGAAAAGTGCCATAGGAGAGATCCAATCTGGCAGTATCAACCTCAGCCACAGGCACCATGCCGTCAATCAGGTCCTGTCTGACAATGAGCTGTAGGCCGTCAGAGGCCCTGTTCCCAATGTTGTCCACATATTCCACGTCATCCTTGATGTAAAACATCTCGCCATATTCTCCTCGAGCCTTGGCCTTGGTCACGTTGAACTCCTGGCGCAGCCAGTCAGTATTGGTGGAAATATCGGGCATGCGGGCAAAGTTCGTCTCAATAAGATCGGTGAAGACATTCTGATAAATGCCGTCGAGGTTATCACTTTGATAGCCACATTCGCAGTCGGCAAGGACTTGTCCTGACAAGGCCAAGGCAATGACTAGAAGGCAAAGAGAGTAGAATAGTGAGAAGAGGCGCTTGGTAAAGTGACCAGGGCCAGCACTATCGTGCTCCGGCCCGTTGCCAGTCATATCCAATAGCATCATGGCGGAGTTGAGACAGGTTCATGGGACGCAGGGTTCGTGGTTTTTTTTTTGTTGAATGGGAAGTGAGGAAATGGGTCTCCGAGTCCCGAAGCGCGCGTCGGCCGTGAAACAGAAGAACTCTGTGATGTGAGGTACACACCGAGTGAATCGCGTCGCTCCTTGCTGCGTGTCTTGAAGCCCAAGCCGGAGTCTACTCAGACGGTTGTCAGAAATTCAGCCGTTACACGACCGAAGAACGAGGAGGAGGTAGCGGTAATGCACGATATGTAAGAATGGAGTTTGGTTTATGAAGGCGATTCCAGTGCTTAGTCCATTTGTTGATGAGCCGTTGATAGCTCATCTGGGATGAAACTGACTCTGGCGATGGAGTGAAAGATAGAACAAAGTGAAGGCAAGGCAAGGGCTGGGCAGACGGGTTAACCATACCTGTGCGCGGTGAACGAGCGAAACTTCCTCGACTGTGAAGATGTATGTCGGAAGGAAATGAGCTGAGACTGAGTGACTGAAAAGAGACAAGGGCGGGGGGATCAAAGACTTCGTGTACAAAAAAGGAAAGAAGCTGAAGCAATATCGGCAACAAACAGACGGGTACCTGCTTCAACACAGGCTTTCTTTCCCACCATCTGACCTTCTCCCCTCATCCCGTTACGTGCGTTCCTTCCCTTTCAAGCGCGACCCGAGAGTTTGACGTTGAGATCCAGCTGCAAAGGACCGTGACGCGTTCTTTCACACCAGGTAGAGAGAGGTACGTACTTGAGCTTCGTCTTTTTGATCCCAAAGATTATACCGCGTTCAAGCGCGTTCAGCCGTCTTTGAGAGAACCTTGATGGCTTAAGTGACGTCTGCCTCTGGAAAGTATTTGCTATTCCCTGTAGAATATTCATAAGGCAAATGAGAAAGAACTCAATTGGAGCTAAGCTCACAAAGCAGTGGATGTCAGTCGGAGCACTACTTGAGTGGCGTTTCCGGCCTTCAGAAAATGTACTCATGCATTTCTGAGACATGCTGGCGATAGCGAGTATAAGTAAGAAAAAGAAGAAAAAAACAAATAGAAAAATGATTTGTGGCTACATGCATGAACTTCCGTAACACTACTTACTTACCTTATTGAATTAATATGGAGAAAATCGAGACCACTTCAACGAACCCACCAAGTCTACATTGTATACGCAATTCACGACCTTGAGGTAGAAGTGAGGATAGAGAGATTTGACATTTTTATGCCGATTCGGAATTAACTATCAGTCTTGTGAGGAGATTTGCTATATTTCTTGAACAAACTTTTGAGTTCAGCTCGCTAACTATGCGCCAAACCAAAGCTCATTCATTCCCAACGAAAACGATCAAAGAAACAGGAAAAGACCAAGAACAAAACCCAACTAGTCCGTTCGCTCCTACAGTCCACCTGTTCTGCCTAGAAACAGCGTCCCTAGTCCTGATATCTAGTACAGAGGAGGGTAATAAGAAAAGAAATAAGGAAAACTTGATACTGGAATGTTAAGGCAGAAAACAGAACGTGTAAAGACTCGGCAAGTAAAACAGACAACGACAACAAAGCCAAGAACTGTAGTAGAACAAAGGTATCAGAAGCTGAAAAAAATAAATCGAGTAGGAGATGTATGTCTGCCGCCGCACACAACAGCGGCAAAGACGTGAAAGGGTTATTATAAAGCGGTAAGGGCGCCGTAGCTAACGAGACAAGGTGAGAAGGAAAAAAATTTCCCACATGGGACCAGCAACCGTGTTGGTGTTGCGGATTATTAGAGGCTTGCGCCAGCGTTTGTGCGCGATTTGATCCTCCTTCCTGCCGTTCGGGACCAATGCGAAACCGGATTACCAAACTTGTCCCTCCATCACTGCCCAATACCACGACCATGCAGACGCGAAATGCCACAGCTACCCCAGAAGAATTATCAAGGAAACCCTTCAGACCCCCACCCCCTCGCGCCGATGAACCCTGAAGCCATTGAAAAACAAAGATTGGAAAGTCCCTCTCGAGTGGGGAAGAAGCGACAATGAAATGCTGAAAGCAAAGAAACCGAACAATGACGAGAACCCAAAACCGCTCGAAAAAGGTATATGCCGAAACCCCACCCTCACAAACCATAAATAAGATCGTCAACTTCGTCACAACTAATACACGCTGTCCTCATCGGCCCCTTGAGATGTCATCGAAGGGGTCGTGACACTGGGGGATGCTTCAATGTCATCCACGTAGCCGATGAGGGCTTGCTCATGGAGGCGGAAGGAGTCAGCCATAACACGGGTGATGCTGCAAAATCACGTTAGCCGAAAATAGTCAAATGGCTGTTCACGGGAATCACTTACCCCCAAACAACGACCTCACCAAGCATTGAGGCCCAGAGTCTCGCGACAACAGCGCCAAGGTGGCCGTCAATCTTTTCCTGAAGCCCCCTCGCAAACAGCTCTCGCACACGCTTGTACATGACCTGCTCCTCTTCCGTCGCCTGCTCCTCGTCATGTTCCAGACGATAGAGCCAGAGGCTGAGAATGATCATGAGGTCCATGCCACCCAATGGGTGCTCAATACTCCAGTTTGTGGGCGAGGTACGAGCCACCCAGCGGACACCAGTATCGACCGCAGTCTCAATGCAGTCATAGCAAACCTGAATGACCTTGATCATCTCACCTGAGCGTCTTACCCGATCCCGGGCATTTGACATGGCAGCGGCGACCTCGTAGGAGTCATGGTACCGGAGGGCCTCCTGAACCGTCTTCAAGTCCACCTCCAAGCGAGCACGCGCATTGCGATACATGGCCTTGGCGTTAAAAATCAAGGGATGACCCGTTTGGGGCGTGTGCAGGGGGGCCGCTACTGTCTCGTGCTCGCAGAACTCTAGAGATTTCTCCCACGTCTCAAGGGCGAGTCTGAGCTTGTACTCGGTCACCACATCCTGCAAAGCCTCGGGACTCCTCTTATGATACCAAACTTCCAAGAAGAGCGCATTGATCATAACACGCGTTCCAAAAGCGCTGTACGTGAGCGTCTCGCCCTGGAAGAGGTTATCATGGGCCACCATAAATGTCGGAGCGGGAGACGCTTCGAGATGCTTTTGCCAGGCCACCTCATCAGCAACCTTGACGTTCCAAAGGAATTCGGTAGCTGGGAGCTGCAGGTCTTCGAACTCGTTGAAGTTGATGGCCGGAGTGTGGTTGAATGTGAGGGTGAGAAGACCGAAGAAGATGTATACCGCATAGTACGTACGCCTGCAACCTTCATCCTCAACCCACTCGGCGCGTGTTGGGGGGCGTCCTTCACGAGCCTCTTGGCGAAGCTTGAGCTCATACCTGTTGCCAGCAACCATGTTGGCGAGAAGGCTCTTGATTGAGCAAGCCCATTCCAATCCCTTGGGATCACCACTCCAGCTGGCAAAAATCATGTTGAGAAGAGAGCTCTGCATGGTCCAGAGCGGGCACTTGCGCGAGCTGAAATTCTCCTTATGCTGAAGAAATTGGTTCACCAAGATCTTCGAACCGATATGAAGCATGTACGCATTCTCTTGATCAAAAGCATACAAGGCTCCGATCGATAGTAGGGCGAGAAGGAGCGGTGGTGAGACTCGGGTAGGCTCGAACGAAGCTGGGTGAAGGAATGGTAGATGATGATGGAACAAGCCGAAGTATGTCGCGAGGTATCGGTTAATCGACGGTAAGCTGGGGACGCGGAATCCTTCTGGGAGGGCATGCTCGGCATCGTGGGCGCGGATGTTGTCCAGAATCATGTTCCTCTCCTCATCGCTGTTGATCTGAGGAGGGGGAGGCTTCTGGCCGGCGTGAGCCTGAGTGGCATCCAAAGGAGTATGGGTGCGGTGCGGCAGAAATGGCGACTGGGGAGTGGGAGTGCCGTTCACCGAAGCCGGGAGCGACGAAAGGGGGAGCCCGTTGATGTGTTGGCCGCCCATGGGGGCCATATGGTTGGGATGAGACGTATCGAAGGATCCGGGACCCGAGATGACCGAGTGCGCTTTCGAGTTGTGAGAGATGAAGCTGTCCCACTGGGGAAGACCAAGCGCACCGTTGGTGAAGGGTACCGAGGGCTCAATAGTCGGGGTGCTGGTTTGCGAAAAGGACATGGTCCCGTTGCCATCGTAAGGTGCGCCATTTGCTCGCGCCTGGGAGGTGGCTTTATGTTGAAGGTCAGCAACGAGCATCGCAGCGGTTTCCACATCAAATATACCGTCACTACTGGCTTCTAACTGCTCAAGAGCTGAAGTGTCGATGTCCATGGGAGTCTTGGCAGGCCCGGTGGCAGGGCGAGGAGCCGCCTTGGGACCACCGCGACGCTTCCCGTCGCTGTGAAGAGGTATGCCGCCATCTTTAGCGTGGACTGTGCGGTCGTGTCGGAGAAGGAGATCACGTCGTACGAATGTGCTTCTGCACTTGAGACACTTGAATGGTCGCTCCTTGGTGTCTGCAAGTGTATGTTAGCGCGACTATTTGGGGGGGAAAAAAAAATGAACGACAAAGTGCTTCGAAAGCGAAGAGACGAGTGATGGAGAGGAGAGGAAAGGAAGCGTACGTGAACGTTCGTGGCGGCTGCGGTGTTCGCTCCTGCTGAAGGCCCTCGCACAAAACTGGCACTTGTATTTTCTCTCTGGCTGTGTAGCGCCTGGCGCCTTTCGTGGTGTTGATGCTGATGTTGGTGCTGGTGTGGTCGTTGCAGGCGCCGTCGTAGGCGCGACAGCCACGCTTGCGCCTGGCATTTTGGATGTGGGGGATGTCGGTTCTGGTGGTGAAGCTGCCTCGCTACCTCTTGCGGATGACTCGAACTGCTACAACGGGATCGACGTGGACGGCGATAATTAGGTGTGGTGGTCGGAAGTCCAGTTGATCCTCACAGAACGATAGTTGAGATCGCCTGACTCCTTCGCTCGCGGGCGCTCCCGTAGGACTTAAAGTGTGTCGACGTGACTCTGTGTCGTGAAGCTGCTCATTGGTGATATGATCATGGAAGAAGAAACCGTGGCGGATGGTGAGGGAAGCCCCTGCCAATTGAATTGCAGAGGGGTCGTCTTGCCGTGGGAAGCAAAGACTGTTCGGCGGATGCGGTTGTGGAATGCCGACCTTTTGTCGTGGTGGCTGGCGTGGGTGGTGGTGATGGGGATGGGGATGGATGCGGGAGGGAAAGCTGGAGGGGTTTTGGAAAATGAGAAGAGGGGGAACGGGGTAGAAAAGATGGTTTGCGCAGAGAGGGGGGACAGTTCCACGCGCAGTTCCCACGCCCGTTTCCCGTTGCCTGCACTCCGGCTGTACTGCACTGGGGCTGCGAGTGCCAGTGAGGTGGACGGAGGTGTGCCAGCCAAAACTGAAGTGCAGTGTGCCAGTGCCAGCACCGTGTGTAAACCAGCGAGCCTAGACCGTGTGGGGGGTGGCCCTCTCAAGGGAACGACCTGGACTGGAAGTGGAAGTCGTAGAGGTAAGTACCAGCCAGGTGCCCTGCAATTAGGTAGGTAGGTCACCCTCGACAGGCCTCCCTCAGATGTCGTACCTTACCAGTGTGCAGTCACCGCGTTTTAGCACCCAGAACCCCCCCTCGATCCGACGACGCCCGCTACGAAACCGCAGATGCCAAACATTCGCAAATTTTTGCAGACTCTCGATTTGGCCTAGCTCGCCTGATCGAGGGGTGCCGAAAGGTACAGGGTACGGCAGGCTTGTCTCCCACGTCCTCCCTTCCGATGAGCAGCCTACAAATAAATGGGCCGGATTCCCTGGCTTTTAATTCCAGTGGTTGGGACGGGACTGGATTACCTACCTCTCTAGGTACCTAAACATAACACTTTCCATCCGGTCTTGCAAGTCGCAAGTGAAAATCGAGGCACTCGACATCATGGCTTTGCCGGGAGCAAAAGATGTTCGAGGTGAAAGCCAGCAATGCTGGGACACCTGTTTTCGCGGGCTGCCCACCTTGCCCACTTGCCCACCTTTTCCAGAGCGGTGAGTCTCGCAAACTGAGGTGCGTCACAAGTCTGAGATGAGAAGGGCCATTTCCCTTTCTTTTTTGTGTGTCTGTTGCGCGCTCCCAGCAAAAAGGCGCCGGCTGTGACTGGACAGCTGTTGGCCGGTCATGTCTCGAGTACCTCGCCAAGGTGGGGCGGGTTTGACATGTCGACCAGAAAAGGGGAAGGAAGGCCGGGATGCAAGGCGCGGGGCAGGGGCGTCTCATCGATAGGCCCAAATGTTTCTTCTGGCGCAGCTTTCGCCGACGGCTCAGCGCTATTCCACTCTGCAGGTACCTGGCCAGCTAACGTGTCGAAGCGTGTTGCTTCGTGTTGCGAGACCCGTCATCAAATTTCTTTGACCACACAGTGCATCCAGAAACCAGTTGGCCAGATACAGATCTGCCCTCCCAAGCCCCTCCCCGAGCAATCTCATGGATCCTCGTCATCCCCGCCGCCGCTGAGATGTCCGTCGTTATTTGAAGCAGCAGTCATGCTGCCATGCTTCCATGGTGCGGTGCGTGTTGCCGGAGTATGTAATGTCGAATTGGGACATGCTTGAAGCCCGGGCACTTGAGGTTGGAGCTGCCGCAGCTTCAGTCAATTCCACTCGCCCTGGCCATTCATACAATCCAGGTACATTATGCAGCTTCCCCCTCCATCCAGGGCAAAAGTTACGTTCGGCCAGAGCGGAAGTCATGCGGGCGCGCGACACCGGCGCGGAAAAGTTGATTGTCAGCGACGGCACGGTGGAAGACAGACTGGAACGCAAACTTGGATTGCGACACCTCACCACCGGATTTACGTTACATACAAGTACACAGAGATAGGCGAATTTCCACATTGCATATTTCAGCAGATCAACTTGGAACCCGAAATGCTCGCATGAATCTTCTTCTCCCACTGACACCCGCCTGACCCGGGTCTCTCAACTTGGGCCCTGGCTCTGGGCTGGGCCCCGCAATCCTATCTGTGGTTCGTGGTTGATGATGAGTTGTCTGGCGCGCTGCAGTCACTGACCGCCATATCGTGATTAGGTACCTATGCCAGGACGTGTGCCCGGGCGTAACGGGCATGCCTCTGTTGTCTTTGTGACGAGCAGGGTAGAGGGGCGGAGGGCTTGGGTTACAGAAGCCATTGAAGATGCTAGAAATCAGTGGGTCGGGGCTGTTGTTCCATCGCTGTAGTGTCCCAAGCCCAGCCGGAGCATTTTGTTGTCGAGGGAATCCGAGTTCCATGTGTTGGCATTAAGTCGTCCCCAGGGCACCGCAAAGCATCAATGACGGGGGCTATGTCGTTGGATGTCGATAGTCGACAATTGAATTCGCGGGGCTGCTGCACCACCCACACTGTAACAGAGTTGGAGAAAGCGTCTAAGGCGCGTGTACCTACCGCGGAACAGCATCATGTTCCATGCCGCTCCTCGACATGTCCAGTCTCGACCGACGTCGCTTTCCGGGCATCTTTTCTCTATCAGGACGTCGGTTTTTCGAGACGAGGAACCAGACATCATGAGACAACTTCTAGACGAACGACTAGCAAGCTGGGAGCTGTCGTACCCAGGTACATCGAGGTCGCAACACGTTTTCAAAAGTTAGCAACCAAGATAACCCCGGTTGACCTGCATGACGGATGCTGCTGCAATGCCCGTCGTTCCATTGTTGCACTGTCAGTACAATCTCCAAAAGTGAGGCTGGGACCGAAGCAATGAGGAATCCCAACGTTCTTATCCAATTGCTGGGTCTCCGTGCCACATCTCGGACCCCACGACGTGCTCTTCAGCCACTGGCAGGACTGGCTATCGATCGATTCAGTGTGATATCTCGTGATCACAGCTCTCGAGACTCGGAGGTAATTTACTTTGGGCTCTGAAGTTCTATGTCATGCATACCGGCGAGCAGGCAAAGCTTCATGTTACCGAACAGCTCCACACTTCTGTTCAAGAATGTACATCGGCTGTGCTCTCTGGGGCTGTCAAGGCTCGCTTTATTGTGCCCCTCAACTTCAGTTCTGGACCTCGAGCTTTCTCGCCGTGAAGGAGGGGTCTACAAACCATCACACCAAAGGTGGCCCATGACGGCTGGTGGGATGGCGGGGGCGACAAATCCCAAGGACAGACTCCAATTCCGAGTGGATGTCATTGTAATTGAGGGGTTCGAGGGGTAGGTTTCCCGCCGGGCAGCGGTGCCCCTCGGCTCGTCTCAGCTCATGTCTTGTCATCGGGTGTTCACCTTGTCACCAGTCTTGCCAGTCAGCCAGCCGGGGCCTTGTCCTTCCCGGCTTGACCTTGAGCGGGCGGTGTTTACCGACGGATTCCCCGCTACTTGTAGCAATTATTGTGGGTTACCGCAATGGTTGACAGTGGCACATGACCGACCTTCCTCGGAACCACTTTGTGCGAGATGCTGCGATGGCTGACTCGATGCGACGTCAATCATTGACAACAGGGCCGGCCCATATCGCAACAACGGCGAAAACGCTCATGCTTGCCTGAAGAAACAGAAACAACAGAGGGGTTGTACGGTCGTTGCTTTAGCTCCACTAGGAGTACTATGACCCGCGTGTCTTCGCCGTTTATCTGCCCCGCGTTTTTTTTCCATCTCACAACGCGCTGGAACAACATATTTGCACTGCGCGAGGGGTCAAAAAAAACACCACGAACTACTTCACTGCAATGATGCTGATGTTCCAACATGCGGATACAAAGACAGTGTTCCAAGATCCTCACAAGCACTGTACACTGCATTACCTAACCCCCAGCCAACGAATCGGACACTCCTGGAAATCCGGACCTGGGAATGAAAAGAAATAAGGAAGATGGCCGACAATTTCAGCTCACGGCACATCACACTCCAGCGACCAACCTCAGCAGCCATCCTGCTGTTTTTTACTCGAATATTGCCAATCACAAAGGCGTGCGAATGGTGTATACGGAGTTCCTTGTTGAAAGTTAAGTCACACAAATGATTATGACTTCAGGGCTCTGGATTAGTGTACCAAAGAAACGAGAAATCACATGGGCATTCCCATTCGTATGGACATCGACGATCCATCACCGCGCTGTACGGTTCCACAAGAATTCCGTGTTTGCCATCAAAACAACGAACACGGAGAGGGAGGTATCGTGGAAGCCGGCGGCGACCAGGGCAAAAGCGACGTCTGTGGATTCGCTCTTACCTTCCAAGCGGCAGATCCGACCAAGTGGCGGCTTGGCGGCTTGGCGGCCTGGCCAACGAAATCCCAGCAAATCCGGGGAACATCGCGTTATCGCTCCCACTTGGTGTACCGCAATCTCGCTGGCCACACTGTACAGCACGAGACTGACCTTTCAACTTGGAAGACCAAGATGGGTTCATGAGAGGGGCTCACGAGGGGCAAGAGGGGCAAGAGGGGTAGAAGGGGCAAGAGGTGTCACTCTCACGTCAAAGAAACCATCATGTTTACGTTCATGGAAGACCACGAAGCAAAAACATCAACAGCCAGCCAGCCAGATGAAGAGTCGGTGATGGCTGCACCGCAAGTTGTTAGAGGTATACAAATTATCCCACTCTGACTGTGTTGACGTGGGCCGCGGAACGAGAAGGATTGGGCAAGAAGGAAGTTTTCGAGATTAGCACAAGGCATCGCAACCGACGGCTCCGAAAAGGGCATCTCCTTTGGGATATTTGCGCCCATATGCTGCCTCGAACTCCGGGATTGCTGCAGAAATTGGCACCGGCTTTGGTTGCCGTCCATCGTTGCATTTTCCTTTCCTCCCATTTTACCGCTTCCAGTGTACTGTGTAAGTTCGCTCACTCATCGCCAGCAATGTGGAACTTAAATCCGGCCTTCAAGCCGGCGTCTTTGGTGGGTTGCACTCACACGCTGGCGGGCGGACCGCGTCTGGCACAATTGCTACCTGCTTTCGTTCTCCAATCTTCCCAGATTGACATTGGACCAGCGGCCACCGCAACGACGGCCGACGACAGCACACAACAGCACACGACACAAGACGACGACAGTTGAGAGTGACTTCGAGGAGGGGTACCTGATCTGCCACTAGAATACGGGATAGAGCGCCATGGATGCAACCTCCCCAGCTTCTTCGAAGAATCTTCCATCGGTCCACTAATAAGGTTCCCGAAGACCAAAAGCGCAAGCGCAACATTCCCGTCCAGATGAATGGAGAGGCTGGTGTGCAGTATCGAAACGCGTTCTCGGAAACCAGTGGGCAGAATGCTGCCAGTCCTGTCGACGGGCCAACCATGGCCGCGCGCCAATCGGAGGACCATCTTGACTGCGTGGTACTTCCACTCATCTACACTACACAGTGGTGGATAGCGAATCGCGATTTGCAGTGTCTTGGCCTTCTCTTTCGCAAGCCTGTCTCACGCACAATTCTCGGGCAACATGCTGTTGTTGGTGTCTGCCGTTCTGCCTCGGTCACTCGGTCGGCTAATAGGATTTCGTTAGGCGTTTCCTCATGACGAGCAGTTTATGCTCTTGCTCTTCCCAGCAATCATTAATTTCTTCATGCCATGCCATACACTTGGAGATTGAACACCCAGGCATGGTTGGTAAACCAGATCAAACGGTCTATGCCATTGGTTTAAAGGTAGGCTCGCCGTCGTACTATTTTGGGAATTGATTTTGGTCAATCGTTTGTCAAACACGCCCATTTCCCATGCGCCAGAGGTGATATTACAGCAGTCTTTTCGACAAAATCTTTCCCTCCCAAGTTCAGCAGCCATCGCCATTTTTCGAATGTCAACAGCACATGCAAGAGAGACTAGAGAGAAAACAGTGCAGCGATATGACCAGCAATAACCCACCAGCTCGCTGCTCGCTTCATCTTCCGTTCGCGAACACAAGCCCCACCACCACCCGCACGAGTTCCGGTGTCAGACCGCAGACGGACACTTCCCCCCACTGAAGAGGAAACCTCAGCCCGCTGGAAATGGGCACCGTGAGCCAATCCTCGTGTCTTTTCAAGTGGGGAGGCCGCGGGTGGTTTCCGGGGAGCTCAGAGAACGAATGGGTTCAAAGATATTGGGATCCGCTAGCTTGGAATCGTTTTCCCACCACGAGAGATCCCTGCTTACTGGGTTTGAGCTAAAGCACGTTAGGGTAACTTCGAAAAAAGGGGCCCCTGGACGTCGATTGGCTTGTCATAAATTCCTTATGAGCTTGGCACCAGGAACAGAGAACACAGGTTTCGTTGTTTCGTTTGTTCGGGTATCTTTTTCATCTTGCTCTCTTCAAGATGCATTTCATGTTCAGTTTACAACAGGTGCATTTCCAAAACATGGATGAATATTGTGATGAGCACAAGACACTCTGCAGCAACACTACCAAAAGTCATGAAACCCCTATTACATGCTTTGATATTGTGCAGTGTGTTGCATGTCTGTCAGTCTTACATATTTCTACACGCTCGCATCACAGTAACCCCGTCATTTTACATTTACATTATCGTCAACTTTCTGCTATAAAATGTCATGCCATGCTTGCCATCCCACCATTCCATCAAGGGTCCCTCAATTTTTTTTGTCCTCCATGTGTCTTCTCCTCATCATCTCGTTGTCCACATCATCCTGCTTTTACGTACTGCTTCGGGGTATGTAAGTTTCGAAAAACCCACGGTATCTATACCCCGTACGTATGTACCTGCCACCCGTTTCAAGAAACATCGTCATCTCCGTTTACCCCTCCCCTCCCCTTCGGGCTCCCCCTCCATCATACCATCTGGCCCGCCCTTTTTTTACTTCCCCTGACCCGGCCCGCCGGTCGTGACTCGGTAATTGCCCGGACGGTGCGGGACGGGATCCACGTTGCAAAAAAAATAACAAAAAAAGAGTGCTCCGTTCGTAGGGCTCGAAACGCCAACGTGATTGGCACTGTTCAAGTGCAGTGCAGTGGCTTCCACCGCTTTTCCTTTTTTTCTTCTTTTTTGTTGTTCCGTGCATTCCTACACTACATAGGTACATACCCCTTGTCGAACACGACACTCTGGTGTCTCGTTAACCATCGGTCTGATCTTTTGCTGTTCTGGAAACCCACTGGTCTGCTCAATGGGGTTCGTCATCTTTTTTTGTAGCTTTGGTCAACAAACGCGGGAAGAGAACATACATACATACATACATGGGTGATCGAACGATTCAGGGTGGACCTGTGGACAGGCTGGGTCGACGAGCCGGTGGATGAACGGATGGAGAGATCGACAACTGAAGTGACAAGGTGGAGATCTTCGGTGAACCGTTTTCTCCTTGTAGGGTTGTTTACGAGCGAGGATTGCAGTTCTGCAGTATTCTTGACGTTTTTACCAACTTTTCTTCTGTCGTGCTTTGTTTCTTTCGTTAGTCGAATTTTGCTCGTTATTTTTGTTCATTGTTAAGTGGCCATGGCGAATTACTGATCAGCCCAGCCTTTGAAGAAGGCTTCATAGATCATTAAGTATAAGGAGCTGAGTAGTAAAAGAAGAAAAGAGAGCAAAGATCACATTGAAATTTGGATACGCTCTTCATTAGGATTTTCGAAAGGTACATTTTGCTCAGTGAGCAGCAAGTGTCCCTTTACAATCTCCCAATTCAGACCTCGTGGACCTATAATAGTTCGAAAACTCTATACAGTCATCCAAGGAAGCAGCAGGCCCGACAAAGCAGATTGGAGCATAGGTAATGAGATCGATCTCGCCGGGGATATTCCACGCTCCTTACTAATAGTCAGCTACCTAAGTACCTTGTTCTCCATACCTTCTCGAAAGAATCTTGGTTCCTAAGCAAGACATGGACTAGGTTAGTTAGTTGACAGCGTTGATGTTTTTGCCGTGGGGTCAGTCTTGTGGCATTGTCATGCCGGTGTTGGTGGGCGCGGAATGGGGGCTTCTGTCCCAAAATGGCGGTTGGAGGGTACGCAAGAAGGAGCAATGGTGGGCGAGTGCGAAAGAGCGAGCAGTCAGTCCAACTGTTCTCGGTCGTTCCTGCCCTTCCGCTTCCTCTTACTCTACAGATACCTAGGTAGATGGCAAGAGATACAGACCTTGCTCCGCCTGGAAGATTACTACTGATTCGATTTGGACGCAACATATGAAATCAAAGCCGTCAGCCTGGTATCTTCTTGCCATCAAACAGTCAATTTAGCTGTAGGTACCATGGATAGTATCATGGCGAGATTCCCAACCTTCGCCAGCGAGACTATGAGTGACCATGTATGGTACAATTCATCTGCTACGCTGTAAAGAACATGATCAAAAGTGTGGCTTTATATAAACAATAATATGCATCAATTTAGGCGGCGAGTGCTTTACATTTTAACTGACTCTAAGAATCTCTGGCTGTCATTTTAAGATAAAGGGTTGAAGGAGACCATAAGTTCATCAGAACAGCTCAAGACTGGATCAGTGCTATTGACTGTTCGAAAAACCCCCTCTAGTAAGAAAGCCAGGCAGGCAAGGCGTGGCATAAACCTGACCTTGTAGAGACTTGCAGACAGAGAAAGAACACAACTCACTAGACCCTTATAAATGACTGTCTCATACCAGTTACCAGTGATACTCAACTAGTCTAGTCTATGCAGCATGGAAAGACGTAGACTCTGAATAGGTGTTGGGTACTTAGGTATGAATGGGCTGAACACACCATTGAAGGACAACGGTACTATCCTGTCCTGTCCTGTCCTGTCTCTGATCTCGCTCTCAACTGACACTTTCCAAAAGACAAGTGCCACCCAGGGCAGTAATCTATAATTTATCGCATCTAGAAACATCTCCCGTGTGCTCATCAGTTAGATACCCATTACGAGGCGAGTTGGCCCCAGGAATGTTTAGTATTTTGTCTGAAGCGTTCCTCGTCTCCTGCTATATCTTCCTTAGCTACCGCGAAAGTTCAAGCACGATGTCGATGGACAACTTGATAAAGAGAGGCAGAACGTAACCGTAGGGGCTGGGTTCAACAACAACAACGCATTTGACTAGTACTCTGCTTTACAAGTACGTACCTAAACTGTGCACGCATCGTCCAACCCTTTTTAGTTTTCTATCTTTCTTTTCTTTATTGTACGAACTTGAAGTGTCAAAAACTCGTTGAATGTCATGTTCAAGACGCCGCCGTACTTTCATATTGTTTGCAGTACCGTAGGGAGAAACCCCCATTGTTCTTCTACGCGTATGAGACACACGAGGAATTCTTTTAACTTTACCGGTTCGTTCTACGAGAGTTCTGTCATTGTCTACAGTAGGGCTCCATCGTAACAATGTTTTTACGTCGTTTCCACCCTTGCCCTATTGCATGATGGTTTTTTCTACTTTTTTCTTGTTTTTTTTTAAAAATATTTTAAAAAAAACCAAATTTTTATTTTTTATTTTTTATTTATTTCTCACAT